GGTTAATTAGAACATTAGGGAACGAATAACAAACCACTTGAAGGAGATTGAACACCACACTAAACGTTGACATAGAATATTATTATTATCAAATGATAATATTATTAATTTAATCTATTTATCGACATTTATAAAGTTAATAAAGTGGCATTATCGATTGATAATAAGCATATTCTATTATTCCACTCGAGTTTTGGATTACCTTTTTTTTACATGGTGGAATTCCTAGCTTTGCAGTGCCGTTGTAGATTAATTTCAAATCTATGTGATTAATATTTGTAAATTTTAATAATATATAAAGAGAAAAAAATAGTGAATAAATGAATGACATGTGGTTTAACGTGCTATCGGGTAAATCTTGTCTGGAAAACTGTCAAGGGTTCTTTTACGTGCACGATTTTTTATGTGCCATCCAAAAGATGCTGTACAGCCCCCACCTGCCCGTAGCACTGACAAGTGGACACCATGAAAGATGATCATGAATTGAAAACAGCATTTATTTAGCTACTTGGACTATAATAAGTGTCATTAGTGCTCTAGAAGAGGCGCGCATGTTTGTTTGAAACATGACTCATTCGCTAATTTTAAATACATTCTATTTGATCAAATATTTAAAACAAAATTTAAAATATTCTTAAAAATTGAAGCCAACTAAAAATAAAACAAAACTAATTCCATAAGTAATCAAGTCAAGTCAGTAAGAATAAAAATGTCTCCTTCAAGGCTCATACATCCATATTTTTTATAAAATAGAAAAGGCTTTTACATGTATAACAAAAGCAGTTGAATACAAATAGGTCTACCGTGTTATCAAACAAAAGAACACAGAGCGTGCATAACATTCGTGTAGATTTCATATACATTATAACATTCGTCTTTATTGATTTATTATATAAGTGTGTGTTTTATCTTAGACGTTTTACCTATTTCATGTTACTTAGAAAAAATTACAGGACAGTATGGCACCGCCAAATACACTTCAACTCTCTTGACAGATATGAAATAGACTCCCTCGATAAATTAGTGAATGATAAAAACAGAAATACTTGGCTTAATACACGTAATTCCTCTCTTAAATTCTGTCTATAGCGCCAATTGTTTTTTGTTTTTTTTACATTAATCCATATTTTTCTGATATTGCGACTAAAGTGCGGGAATCTAAAAACATCCACAAACTTATGAAAATCAATGAATAGTTATACAAGTTTAAATAGTGGGGGGGGGGGGGGGTTAATTAGTCCTACAGGATATAGCAGGGAGTAAACCAAACGCTGGTATTGCACTTGGAACAAGCAACCTATAAACGCTGACATTACCTTTAAACGCTGGTATTACACATGGAACAAGCAGTTTATAAACACTGGCATTTCTCTTGGAACATCAGTCTATAAACGCTGATATTACTCTTGGCACAAACTGGGTTACAACGCTGGTACAGTCTGTAAACGCTGGTATTACACTTTGAACAAACAGTATATAAACGCTGGTATCACACTACACTTGTCATAGTGTATAAACGCTGGTATTACACATGGAACAACCAGTGTATAAACGCTGGTAATACACTTGGAACTGCTTGTTTATACACTGCTTGTTCCAAGTTTTTGCGTGTGTGTGTGTGTGTGTGTGTGAAACAGCTTTATTTAACGTTTATTTAATAAATATTTGAATACAATACAATACATTGCGCATACAATATAAATCTGAAAATCACATTCACAAATGTTACTCTTCTACGGCCATCAATAGTCAACCCATTTCCGTGAAATACTTGATTTGTCACTATATTGAACTTCAATATTAACATTCAAAATTTGTAAGTATTTATATTTTTAGTTATTCTAACTTGAACACATGTTACCTTAGGGCAATTTTTTTAGTTTATTGAAATCATTTTGACATAGAATAGCAGAATAATGAATACCGCTAGAGACAGTTATGAATGCACTATAAAGCAGTTATTTGAGCGCAATATCGAATATAGTTTTTGTAAACAATTTTTTTTTACATTTTCAAATTGTATGTTATAAAGACATCAAGGCACCCTTGTAATAAAGCTGGCTTAAATTTAGGAGGTGTCAAAACACACTTGATTAATTACATTTGATTACATATCTGTAATATTAAACAATTTAAAACAAGTTCTCAATATTGGTATTATCAATACACTAGTTATAAATATTACAAACTTAATGATAATGTACCACATTAGGGGAACCATATGTGTAAAAAACAGAACAAGAGGGTCATTATATTCCGACAAAGCCTGAATTTTTAAATATATACACAAATTATGAAACCAATAAATAATACACACAAATGGTCCATATCGTTATTATAGCTGGGACTTGCATAGCGAGTGTCAAATGCGTCCCTTATGTTTACAGCAAAATGTAATTTCCTTTCCTAATTTCTACCTCCGAATTAAACTCTTTTCATTGATTCGAAAACGTTTGTTTTGTTACTTCAAAGTTATTGACAAATTATTCATAACACTTCTACTCGAAAATTGTTTTGTAAAGAAAGCCTATGTGTTCCTTCTTTTCATATTATAATTAAATATAATTTGGTAATTTGTTTCAACACGAAATTTGTCAGTGTCAAAACTTGTACGAGACATTTAGAAGGGTTATAAATGTATTTAAGTGAAAACCCTATTATGGCGGTTTATTTCAATTTCTGTTTTTAGCCTAACAGTGACTTTTTTAGGGGTCAGTCAAGGGCCCACTTGAGACCCCGCACTATTCGTGTCAAAAGCTGATAATATCGAAATCATCACACCCATACACAAGGTGTCAAACACAATAAGATTGTCATATTAGTTATTGTAATATTTCTTGAGGGCAGAATTACATATTTGACACAAATTCTGTGTGAATATTACATATATAAGTAACACACTTGAGACATTTTATTGTTAAATTTATGCAGATGATGACGTTTTAAATGCTTGAGGTTTGATCTAAAAACTTGGACTATTTAGCAATATGTCTTAAATCAAACTAAATTTAAATACACTAAAAACTATGTATGGAATAACATTTACTGGTTTATTAAAATACAACGTTTCGACAATGATACTCGATTCTTTATCTAGCAAACAATATCATCGTCGAAGCTTTGAATGTTAATAAACCAGTTATTGTTGTTCCATAAATAGTTTTTAGTGTGGTACTAAATGTCACTCAAAGAAGTTAATTTAAATATATTTTATAAATATGATTGCATTACAAAATTTTAAATCTAATATTTAAAAAATAATATCCACCTATTCCGGACATTAAATATCGTTATAAATATAAAATCATAGAATGTTTGTGTAATCGTTGTAATCGTAGCCTCAGATGCCAACAAACACTTGCTTTGTTCGTAACTTTGGTATATGGGCTCATTTCTATATCTTATTTAATTAGATAAATAAAACATGATTTAAAAATAAGGCTTAGCCTACATGTATAAAATATTTTATCGTTTCACGGAAGAGTAAAGAATTAAACAGCTAACTGTTAACAAGTAATTTTCATTCTATAATGGATGTCCACCACATGTGAGTGTTAAATAAAATTCAACGAAAGATTTCTACATTTCAAACTACAGCTTTATCTTGGTTACCGCGCCGTCATTTCTTGTCATTTCGTGACCGGAATTAGCTGCGTTAATTCTCTCTCCAAACCGAAACGAAACATGTATTTCACGACATTCTTCGCTTCTCGATAATTTCCCTGGGGGTATCACCGAGTTGCCCAAGGGGTCAGGCGTGTCAGAGACCCTTATAACCCCTTTCCTATTATCATTATCAACGTGTGCCAGCAAAAAGAACTTTTATGACTAACCAGGTTAACTGACGTATCATTTCACGCGTGTTACGTCATCGATCGTAATGACTTCATCACTTTTATGTTCAAAGTAGTTTTTCCGCTCTTTAAGTTTTTATTTTCTTGCTTTCATCTTTTGCTTTAAATAAGTTTTTAATGTTCTCCCGTTTTCTTTATTGAATGCATCATAAATCATATTAATTTAACTATTCAACAATTTCGGTTCCTTATCGATTGTCAATATTAAGTTCACCTTTCTAATCAGTAACTAATCATCTGATTTCTCGGTTCGCTTTCTCCACTTGCATTTTTTCACTCACCTTTTCTTTGTTTAAGATTTTACGTTGGTATTCTGATATTTACAAAAACTAATTGTGAAAGAATATTTTAATTGTTGATTATTAGGAAGATGAAAACAAAATTAAAGTCATTTTTATTTAATTACTATAGCGTCTTATTCTACAGATACATTTTTTAAACACCTGACCAAAGATCTTAAAGTGTAAAGAAAAAAAAAACACAAAAAAAAAACAACCCAAAAATTGGAATTAAAATCCATTTTAGTATCTTAAGATTCAAATTGCTTTATTATTTTTTCATTACGATAAGATGTTATTTTTAACTCGATGGTTAGTCGGAAAATAAAAAAAAGCATACTTTTTTCCCATAGAACTTTTTTTTTATCAGACATAAAGTCAATTAGTTCGAACAAGACAATTATGTATGTATTAATTATGACACGGTTATATTTAGATTGCTAACAAACTATTTTCCTTTATTTCTAATAATGACCCAAGTTTGTTTTCTTTCACAAATTATTCATAATGTAGGGGTCATGACATCAAGTGACATACCAAAACCCCAAATCTAAATTTCACTCCTCCTAAAATGCGATCATGGGAGCCAAAACACGAATTTCGATTAAGGTGACAAAAATTTAAAACGAAAAAATAACATTTTGTTTGGTAAATGACAATAACTACAGAACAAAGGGCAAGTGAGTCTATTAGTGGTTGATTCGATCAGTGAGTGTGGTATATGGGTGTTATCACACTCCATACTAGCCAATCATTAGCCTTATTACTTGCCTCCAGTCAACACATCCATTGTCCCCATTAAGCCAATCAAATGACGCGGTAGTCCGTTTCGCTGTTTACAGACTGTGTCAGTGAAGTAGGTATTTTAGCAGCCGACAACTCACGATTGTCATCAGTTAGCTGACTAACATTTCAAACAGAAAGCATCTCTTGTGGCGGGATAAATATTCTTACAAGGTTTTTTTTAAATCAACCAATGTCACTTATCAGAAGTTAAATGATCGCCATTTTGTGTATTTGTGGATAATTCAATACATCTGTGAACTTTGAAAACCGTTTGGATTTTTTGTGTGAAGCATTTTGACATTCATATTTCAAAAATGTTTCGTGCCCCGTTTGGCCTTGGGAGTTATGGGACAGGCCTCACCACAGATGGTGTATCAGTTTTAGCACAGGTAAAGTACTTGACGTTATTTATGCTTTCATTCATAATTTATGAATATGATTTGAAGAAAGGTACTTTGAACAATTAAGCTTGGGTGGAGTGTTTATTTCATTAGCAGTAATGGAGTATTTAATTTCTGCTTTTTAACATTTTGTGAATAGAAAGCAATGCCCTGATTGAAATTTATAATATGTAAATGAAATACATACATAGCAGGTGTCAACGGTATTAATAATCATATCAGCCCAATTTATCGCGCAATCTTAGAATGTGTTGTTACATTTATTTGAAATATTGATGAATACTATTACTCCGCCAGTTTTAATGTATGTCTTCTGCATGACAAACGTAGCATAACGATTCCTTAAAGGCATTATACAGTTATAATTGCGAAAGAAGTTAGACAATTTTGTTTTATTTATTATCAAGAAATGACGCATAACATGTAGTTAAATAGAGTCTCTTAGATATAATTAAAACGATCTTAAGTCTACGTTTTGCTCATAATACGTATTTAAGATGGACCAAAGATGTCATGCGACGCATCTTGTGTGGTTCGTTTACCTTATAAACAAATTTAAGTTATTCTTCTGTGACTTTTCGTGTAAAATCATGTTAAATAATGGTTTAATCATAATATAAAGTACTTATGTGTGTATCTTTTATACATATATTCCACGGTTGGCTGATTAGAATTTTGTTATTACATTTAAAAACCGGTAAGCGTGATATGTACTCCTTTTGTTATATTTATAAGCAGGGGTTTATAAACTGTGTGAGATTCAAGATAGGTTGGAAATTTGCATTTTTCTTGACGAGAAAATTATATATCACACACGCAGCTCTCACACCTGGGCAATAATTAGCACGAATTGAATTATCTTATAATTATAAATAATTGTTCATTTAAACTGCAGTTATTCAATTTGTACCATTACAAAAATTGAATTATTTTCATTGTGAAAGAAAAGCATCGCACCCATTTTACAGGTGTGCATGGTTTAAGAGAAAGAAAAGAGGGAAAGTCACCAATGATATTATTTTGTTTCATTTAAAAATATTTTCTCATCCTTGTAAACCATTTATTTCTTCACACAGGTGATAATTACTATCTGGAACTTATATTCTTATTTTAAATTCGTGTATTTGTTTTTATCTATCGGAATAATATCTTAATCCTCCAAACAATGTATCACGTGAAGGTGATTGACATTGTAATCGACGAGATAAGACATCAAAGACATCCCAGTGAATATTTTATTTTATATGTTTGTTTTATTTATTTCAGAATGCAGCAGTAAGACTACCCACCAGCCCCTTGTGTGAAAATGGCCGACCCTACGTCACAGATCCCTGTACGGGGCAAGCCATTTGTTTATGTCAGGTAGGCGGAGAGCCAGTACCTCACCCGATAATGTCCGAAGGTGTTAGAAATCTGCATCATCCTTCAGGATTACCCATGGGTACAGAACCTTCGGCGTTCAAATCACCTTTGGTATGTATATATTTTAAATTTTCAGACATAAATACATGTAGATATTTCTTGAGCGTATTTGCCCCCCCCCCCTCCCTAGCTAACTCTGAAATTGAAATATTTAAAACAATACTCACTCATATGTCGCTTACGTACAAGGAATCAATATCATTTACATAGATTTAATAAATACATTATGTTTAATTAATACTTAATACAATTTGCACAGAGAACAATAAAACAACACAAATCAGAAAAAAAATATTGACAATATAAACGCGAAAAGAGATTTAAAAAAACAAATGAAATTTGGTGTGCGTACATAATAACCTTTATCAATAATGCCAATTGATTAAGCATAATTTAATGCAACAATTATTGTTTGATAATTTAATTAAAAATAATTCATGAAGTGGAATTCTTATAATGTAATGGATCGAACTGGTATTCGGGAACTACACGGTGTATGTAAATATACAGATATGTTCAAATCAAATATTAATAAAGCTGTCATATAAAAATAATTGTAATCTAGAAATTGAACGAGACGATTAAGAATTGAATATTGACTATGGGAATGAATACAATAAATACTAATCATGTGTACAATAATTGATATCGTGAATATTACATTCTAATAAAATACTGCTTATTATATTAAGAATAATTATATGGTGTTTATATTGAATAAATAATGGATAATAATGTTATTAAGACTGTGGTATAATAATATTTGATATATTGTCAATCACTGCGACGTTAATTACATGATCAAACCCACAGGTAAACTGATTTAATTGATATTTGAATACCTGTCATTGTAGCTTTTCATTACTCTATTAAATCAGTAATACATAAACAACAAGTATCACTGACAACACAAAAGTGCAAATTTAGTTCGGAGTTTTACAAACAATAAACTGCATCGATTCCATCACAATAAACTGCACAATTCAATACAAAGATACTACAAGTTTCAATTCATTTTTATATGTTTATTAATAAATTTTTAATTTTTCTAAAAAAAAAATTATGTTACTGGTAAAACAAAGGTAAATTAGGGATATAGAGATACATAATTTTACAAGTGAATAATAACTTTTTATGATTTTACTTATAATAATTTTCAATCGGAGGCAAGGAGTCACATTTTTGTTTCTTACAGCAAAGATTCTAAGACAATTTTACAATTACTTTAAAATGCTGTTTTGATTATTGAAACATAAAATGTTATGACCCAGACAATTGTGATCCCATAGAGATTTCAATTACATGTACTTTAAAATGAGAGAAAAAATGCTTTAATAAAAACGGATCTCATTCGATAAAAGATAATAGATATAACACGGACTATTAAAACCGCCATGGAACAGAGTATTTGACAATAGAAGAACGCCGCTTGAATCATGTTTTTTTTACTTGAAATAAAATTAGAAATATTAAATGTATAATGATATTTCATCAAGCTGAACAAATGTTAATTAAATATAATGATGAGCCTTATGTACAAGTTGTAAAATATTAAGATGAAACCGCATCTAATAATAAAAACACTATAAAAGTCATACTACCTACTTATTTAGGACTAAACATATAATTCAAAATCAGTGAAATATAAAATATTTGGTCGTATAGAAATGCAAATAGGTGTAAAATCTACACTAACAAGTTTGAAGTGTGCTCTATCAAGCTATATGTGTCTTGTGTAAAAAAAACAACTACAAGACAAAGAATTCAAAATTGAAATTAAATTTCGTGCTAGACAAAGACCGGTAATTTTAATACAGTTGGTTATCAGCCATTCGTCAGGAAATGCTTGAATAATGTCGAGTTTTTTAAAAAAAAATATTCCATTGTTTAAGTTCAAAAGTCCAATTAAATAATTAGTATTCATTCAATTTGACATTAATTTTTCAACAAATATCTAATTGCATTGTTTTAAATATGTTGTTTGTTTTTTTGTTTTGTTTTAGACATGTGGAATTCGACCAGATCGTCCTGAAACCTGGAAAGCTTTGCCATCAACCTTAGCGACACACCCTTATGACCCAGCATTGGCGTTTCATCCTTATAATGCATTGTAAGTACATTATCAATTCTGTAATTTTTTAAAACTTTTAAAAATGATTAATCCACCATTGTCATCGTTTCTTTAGTGATGTAGTAGTGCGACTTAGTTTCACCCGGGAAAGGGTAGGTGGGATGAACTCATTAATTTGATAAATAAAAAATTAGCCTAATTTGTTCGATTACTTTTATTAAATTAGGTATCAAAAAGCCTACAAGCGTATGTTTGAGCTGTGTGTAAATTTTAATAATAACTTGAACCACACGACCGTAATAGCTGAACTATCTTTGAAGTAAACACTTTGAATCAATTTGTGAAACTCTGAATAGCGTTAATATCAATATGTATTCTCAAGCCTTTGTTAGAAACAAGAAAATGTATAGATTTAACATACGAAGACGATCAAAAGACAAATACAATTTACTTTTATCTCTAAACTTTTATTGTATGATTCGAAAGTTATTTTGACCCAAACACCTCCGCGTATGTACAGAATATACTGTTTAGTAAAACTTACCTGTGGCATTATTACTTAATATCTGACCTCTCATATGTACACAAAGATATCTACCTTTATTGACACCTTTAATCCCAAATCAATTTCCACTAGATATTATTATTCACTTCGATAAAACAGATTTGGATTAAGATTAACTTCGCCTTTTTTTCAAAGTTCTATTAAATTTCATAAAATGTAAAAGTTAGTAAAGGGATACGAGGTTCGTATAAGAAACTACAATTAAAAGAGATCTATCTATGAATCGGTATTAATGTTATTCTAATCTCGTCTTTGAGCTGTCAATCACTATTTCTATATGAGTGAGTTATTAATGTGGTTTATTAAAGATATTAGAACCTTTTAACATTAACTACAAGTTAGCGTTATTCATATGGTCAGGTCAGACGGTACACGGAGTTGTTTGCCCGTATTTTGGTTGACGTATTGTCAACGTCACATCGTGTGCCTATATCCTTAACGACTATGCTGCTACCATTGTCGAAAACCACATACAATACTCATCAAACTTAACATTCCACTTGAAAACAAAATCATGATGCTAATTTTTATTGTATCGACGATGATTTTTGAAAGCGAAGAAGCCAATAAAATGACATCATATGCCTCAACGCCTTTCTGTCTAAGTCGTCTATTTGTTGTCATTGCTTTTATTTGTCATTGTCCACATCAAAAGGGCGATTAATGAAGCGTATGATGAAAAGAGGAAATAATTTTATTAATTATACTTTCTTTAGTTACGCCGGATTGGACCTGAACAGCGCTGCTCGCCGAAAGGCAGCCACCAGAGAGACTACCAGCCCATTGAAAGCCTGGCTCAGCGAACACAGGAAAAATCCTTACCCAACCAAAGCTGAGAAAATTATGTTAGCCATCATCACAAAAATGACTTTAACCCAAGTTTCTACCTGGTTCGCCAACGCTAGAAGACGGTTGAAGAAAGAAAATAAACTTTGCTGGGACTCTGCAGATGATAAAGAAGATGATGACGACGATGATGCCAAAATTAGCGATGATGATATGCACAGTGGATTAGATAGCGAACGTGAAATTGGTAAGTTAACCTGTACTTATTTTTGTGACGTTTCACATGTCATAATCAACATTTTAGTTACCAGTCTTAAAATTTTCAATATAACAATTCTACAATATTACGTTTTTTAAGCTCTTTTCACAAGGCGTTGACGATAAAACCTAGGTAATAAAACCGACATTTACCTTTCATTCTTTCACTTTTTAATCGATTATCGACGCCATTTTTTTCTGAATCGCTCATGCGATTAATGGAGTTATTTTAAGTGGACGTTTCGGATCATTAGCCAGATAAAATATTTCAAAACTCAGTCAAGAATGAAAGTAGAATTCAAAAGTTCTTTAAACCTTCTTTTATCAGACTCAACAAGTTTACATAATCTGGGTATTTCCGTTGAAACGCATTATCCCTTTATAAAGGGCTGGAAAGAGATCAAAATAACGTTAGCCAGTTGACGAATAATAGATCGTCAAAGTTTAATTTAGTTGCACTCTCGACAGTTTCGTACAAGTTCACTCACAGAATGTACAGATGTCGACATTTATCATTAACTTGATTTTTTTGAGGGGAGTAACTGGAGATGGTCCTGAATTTCAAAAAAGACCAAAATGAAACCAAATACTAAAAAACATCAGATGCGATTGGTTCGAATGATTTCAATTGTTCGGTCTCACGAGATTTGACCACGGCAGGTTTTCGCTGGCGTGTAACCCGATGACTTAATAGGAAATAATCCAAGCTCTAATTTCTAACACATGCCAATATTTTTCTAAGATGATTAGTAAAATTAACACGCCATATTTGTTAAGTTTAATAATCTAAGTGAAGTAATTGTTCTGTGCATGGATGCGACGCGGGCTTAATTGATTCCGTGTCTGTATAACTAAGAATGTATCATAGAAAATTGATGCAAATGACAATAATTGTGCAATTGTTTGTAACTTGTTATGTCTCGTGTAATTAATTATTAAGGGTACATATTGTTTATTTTGTTATCCATTTTTCTATATCTAGATGTTGAAGGCCTCGAGAGACGACTAAGCGGTGATGAAGATAGCGAAGCGCCTTTAGATTTATCCGATATTTCTGACACGGAAAACGAGCCAACCGATCATTCTAAATACAATCTACACAACAGACACGAACCATCTTCAAAATCCAGAGGACCAGAAAATGTTCTAGTGAATAAACCAGTGAATACATCTTCGCCAAATCAGAGAACAGACTCAAATAATGTAGAAAATCGAAATGTTTCAAAACCTAAAATCTGGTCAATTTCTCAAATAATAGACAAAGACTCTTCGAAACCAGTGACACCTCAACAACCTGTTTTTTCACCTTACCATGCATTTCATCAAACCGGTTCCCGTTTTCCAGTTGTTCCAACTTTACCTGAAAATTATGGAAAATGCCATAGCCGTCTTCAAAGACCCATGGTTCCTTACAACATGGATAATAAAGTACACAGACCGACATTAGATACACCGCCAGATACCCCACCATTTTCCAGTACTTTCAAACAGCAGACGTCACCAATCAAAATATACGAATATCAAGAAAATGAGGTCTTAAATCTTAAAACAGAGAAAATAGAGACACAGAGTAAATCAGGTAAATAGTATACACAAATACAATAGAAATACGTGTATATTAAAGTCCTTAATAATTTACTAAGAATATGGAATACGCCTTTGTTTGTTTGTTACGTATGACGTGTGTTTCTTATTTGATACATGTAATACAACATGAGCGGAACATCAACGCTCTATAAATTCATTGTTACAAAATAAGATGAGAAATTGAATCGGAGAAAGCACACTCTCTTCGTATATGATACCCCCTTATTACTTATGCTCACTGCTCACATTATAATTAGGAATTAAGATAGCCCAATTTGGCCAAAAGAAGTTAAAATTGTTCTGGCAAAGACAGCATGTGAAATTATGAAACATCTTCTCTTTGTCACTACTGGGAATTCGCATAGCAATTCGTATACCTCTTTATACAAATTAAAGTTATACAAGTACTTATACATGTACTTATAAGTTTTATTTTTGTAATTTCAGATTCTGATAGTGACGAAAGTTGAAAAAGTGGCATCTAAAGTCAAGTTTTATCTGTGATACTCCTAGGCGTCCTGTCGCCATTAAAAGATCCGTCCAATCAGGACAGGGCAAACCAGTCACAAGACCAGAGCCGGTTACCTACAAAATTTGAATTTATTCGACGTGCTGTTGTTACCAAAGGAATAGATACCCCGTTTTCAAAATTTTGAAACCGTGTCCTGAAATTTAAAGGATAACCATGAATGACTATATAAATTTCTGGCATAATAAACATGTACAGATTATAGTTCTGTGTGAAAACCGTGAATTTAGCATAATTTATTTAAATTAATTGATGTGTTCAGTTAAAACGTATACACACGCACATTGTCGTAACTATGTCTGTCTCATTTATTTAAAGCAACTGGTTTTGAATTAATGAACTATGTAATTCAACATTCCGTTGTTTGCAGCATCGAGGCCATGGGTCGAAACTGCCAAATATAGAAGGAGTTTATAGCATCCTTGTTTGTATTGTTTTTGTTGTTACAATGGATTTTACCATTCCTTAATATTATATAAATACAAATGTAATTTACAATTATATACAGGAAAATGTGTTATGGATGTATATATTGTTTATAAGTAATATTTTGCAATAAAAATTATTGAATACACATTCTGTTTTATATAATAAGAGAATATGAAATTTTCAGAATTTGCTAGTAAAAACTGAAAGTTAAATCCAACCATGGAAATTAATTTGGAAACGGCCAAGGTGACAATGGAACATATTTGTAAACTTTAGAATAAGATTCAGTACGAAACCGATTCAATACCAATCTAGCTCCATTTTGTAAGTCGCAGGGAATCATTTACCGATATCCACATATTCAAACTATGATGTCTTAACTATGGACCACTTGCTTTTTCAAAGTATTAGTCCCGAAATGGCCTAGTTTGTATCGAGTGGACGTTAAACTCCATTTCTCACTCTCTCTTTATTTCAAAGTATTAAGTCAGCAAATCTACATCTAGAAGAACGTTTGACCGAATTTGTATTTCTCTTAATTTAGTAAAATAAACAGCAACAACACAAAACCACCAGACCAGCTGTAATGAAATTACAAAAAGGGTATTATATCTAAAAAACTGAAATATAGTATAGGATGTCCATAATCCATTAGTATTGCCTGGAGGCTCTTCTATCTCTAACGTAACCTTTTAATTTGAACTATGGGCTATTGCAATATATGTAAACTCCTTACACGGATCAATGCTGAAGTGGCACAAGGATTATACATACTAACCCTTATTAATTCATCACTTCTGTTTGAAAACACCTTTTTGTCATTAAAATCACAAAACCCAATTACAACATATTTGAATATAAAGTTACTAAATACTTATATACAGCCAATTAGTAATTAATTTTTGAGTGTGTGCCATTCTCGTATACGTATTCTGTGATCCCTTTCTTTCTCAATCCGAATATTACAGACCAAAAACGCTTACAACACTCGTCCCACTGTCTTTGTTGTCCGGAATGTACAGATGTTATCAGAACACGAGCGATAACCGTCAACACGACATCCTGCTCTGTTTACCGAGTGTTAGATATTGGTAGTACAATTTGTTACACAGGCTGTCCAAAATATTACCTACATGACTGATAACATCGGGTTAAATCGTCCGGTGGTAGCCAAGCGTGTGAAGCCGCCGACCGACCCAGTAAAAAAGAACTATGGAGCGAAAGGTGATATCTGTAGTGATCTCTCGTGGCATATGCTTCATTGTAAGCAGTAATATTGTAATGTGTTATGCCAGTGTCACACACAAGGCAACCTATTTGCATATTATGATATGGCCTCCCCCAAAGAGATGCTACGATTTATCATATCAGTTCAGGGTGATAGAGTATTAAATAGCCGACATGATGGTTATTATCTCATACATAGGGCTTTTATCTTTCATACAAACCCTTCACAAGGGGGATAATATGTTCAAATACGAGGATATATGATAAAATACGTCTCTGCATAAAGTCGACGCCGACCCATTCAACATGAAAACATAAATTTACATAGTGACATAATATCTAACTATATTTGACACGACAACATTTGAATTAATCAAGCCGTTAAAAAATAATTTTTGTACATATCAAAACTTAGAAAAAAGCGTGTCTGAACTTATAAAACGGGAAGTTCCAGAGAAGATGTATGTTATCGCTACTAAATAATAAATTCAGCCACTGAATCTGCATTTCTAATGGTCACAAACAAAGCCAACAATAAAATTTCACCATTTGATTCAATAGTTGTATCGGAAGGCCTACAGAGAGTTTGCGTACTATGCCCCGTGCAGAACATCGGTCACTTCCGGTAACAAAAGGTTTTGTCAAGACATTACTGGTGAAAACTGTCTTACTTACCAAATGATTGCCCGACCCTAGGCAACCGATTTCTTTAAAATAAAACAAAACCAAATAAAAAAATTCAATCGTTTCTTACCACTTTTCCAAATTCTAAATCCATTAAAACAAACCAGAAATAACGGAATATCGGATTTTTTTTTTACTAATTTCCTAGTTATGTGCACAGTGACACCTCACCTTAACAGTGATATCTTATTATGTTACAGAATAATTTTCTAAGCTGTTTTTCTGTATGAGCTGTCTTGTCCGCAGGTTGGTCTGATCATATTTGTTTTTCGTCTAGTGCGGTTTTCCTACACTTACTATATATTAGATCACCGTATTATGTTTCCAATAGGTTAGGATAATTTCATTTGTATTTTTAGTCTTTATTAAAAGAGGTGGTGGGTTTCGTCAACAGAACTAATAAATGTTAAGAAAATATTTGTCATAACGTTAATTGTTTACTTTTTTAAGTGTATAAGATATTAGGGTTTTCAACCAGAGATGATAAGATTAACAGAGATATCCGGTTATGTAAGGTTTATATTGTATTTGCCAATACATCCATCATTGTGATGGCTTCTTATGACTGGCGGAAGTTACTTTTATTTAAAAAAAAAAAACCATATTGCGTCATGAAACAGACACGGTATTTAGATATCGCACCCACTGAAACACATAGTCAAAAACAAAGAAGGTAATTTTTTAAGATTATACACAGAAAATATATCGATTTTTGGTGTGAATATAATGCACTTGTTTTATATCTATTCTATGAAAAGTTGTAACATCTGAAATATTCATCTGTCGTCATGCCTTTGTTAACATCACTCATTAAATTTGTCTGATCAATAATTTCTGTTTGATTAGTTGATAATTGAATACCTGATTAGTTGATAATTGAATACCTAGAACATAACTCGTCCAATAACCATGGCGTGTTATTGCATTATTTCACAACCACAATATTAGTTTAAAAGGGCGAAGGGGAAGGTTAAGATGATAGATCGGCCGTAGTTGTGCTGTTCTATCTGTTGTTCTTATTGATATATTTATTGGTTGATAACGCTTGGTAAATATGTCAAGTTTAGGTTTTCCAAAATGAAAGTAATTTTGTGTGCTTGATATTTTCGTAGCCTTTGAAGGTCATTATAGATAAAAGACAACATTTAAAAACGAGCTTTGCGTGTTTTTACGTCAATAAATTGACGAAACAGTGTTGTTTCTGGAGTTTTACTTGTTTATTTATTCTTTATTTGTTATTATTGTCACATTGTAACATTATTTATTCTCTCTTGTCGAAATTTGTTTACAAATACCACTTCATGTCGGAATATGATTGAATAATCCATAAGGACATGGATTCAATGTTATGATATCAAAAGTATATAGTATAATTATCGATACGAAACAATGGCTATTATATGAAGTGTTTTATCAGGCAGCACGGCTCACAGACAAGTGGCATCATCGTGCTTTAATTGCTGGTAAATAACGTCACGAAACACACCCACTTTCCACGGAAAGAAAACAAGCTATCGTCAGATATTTATAAGTCTTTTATCAATAAAGATCGTTATGACAACCCTTTGATTTCTCAACAGAGAACAGAAAAATGTCAAATGAAACTGTTATCTCCCTTGCTAGTTTTAACTTCTGGGGAAATCCCCTCCGATACAGGAAATCAGTGATAAGTCCATTTATTGAAACACATCAACTCAATTAAGAATAATGTATTTCAGAACAGCCCTTTTCTTTTTAATTTTCAGCAAATTGTTATTAATATATATGCGGTTGCCACAATAACATAATCGCCCTTAATAAGGAACGTAACTCTAAACTGCAAAATTAAAACCATGTCATTCAATAATAAAATTTGATATTGTTGATATAAATCATCATTAAGTTATTATTTATAGTCTCATTAATTATTACACCAATCGAAATAATCATTGACATTTACATAATCATTTTACATAGAATTCGGTATTATAATTATGTTTTATGATCGATTCAATAATATCTTTTACTAAGATCGATTGCTCTACGGTTTTAATATTATGTGCGCCATATATTTGACTTTTATTGTATACAATGTATATAAAGATAATCAAAAGAAAAGAAAAAAATATAAAAAATATACGACGCCATGAAGAGGTAGGTTTTCAGACTAAGTTATTATGCCTAGTTATCGGTTGATCATGTCAAATTTTGTATAGAGCATTATCATATTTCTATCTGTCTTAGCACATATTCTCACAGTGCACCTGTCAAACGATGACATAAATGTATATATCAAGACTCTATAATAACAATAATCTACCTAATATCTACCCTAGAATAATTTATAACCTTATCTAAAAAGAAATTATCTAACAATCCTATCTCATTATCGTAACAAATATTCCATTTATGTTTTCAGTGTCATCATTCGATATGATAATTAAGTAAGCATATTTTGATTTTAGAGATATCATTCTTAATCTAATAATTATTATATCAATTCAGTTACTTCACGCCGATAGAATTTCATTTATACTCATATTAAACGGTGATCAATGTTACCACTAACTTGTTGATATCCTCCACAAGTGATGCCGCATATTGCCCCTTAAACCACAGACGTGAAAAGAATTAATGTATATAAACTTGCTGTTAAAATACTGATATGTTATTGCCTATATCTCTTACATATTGCTTTGGCCGTGTTTTTATAAATAAACTATAAACCCAAACAATTAAAATTGAGACACCGAAACAATATGTATATATATATATATATATATATATAGGGATTAAAATAATAATTTAATACTTTTAGAAAATGATCATCTTCATAGGTCGTAATATTTCTGTTCACAAGCAATTTTTTTTTAGATTATTAGCGTTTAGCAAGGAAACATTGACAACTTCTACATTGGTAAATATCATTACCATCTGAGCAGTGAAGCAATAACCGCGAACTGGACAGTATCAGGAACTGATATGTATCATGATGGCAGACAACAATTCATCTTCAGTATAGAAGAATCTCTGACCAGAACTCATCTCAGTACCTGTTGATCACGATGACCATCTGCACCAAACCCAACCATCGTAATAGGACATGGCCTGTTTCATTTTAACTCTAGGAGTCGATTTAATTAGTGAAGTTTCTGTATAGATTCAAAGTTTAGGTCCACAGAACCAATGCACCAAAATACGAATCTAAATTAGAAAGCAAATCAA